TTTTTTATTTTTTATTCATAGGTCATAATTTATAATTTTACACTTGTGTCTTTAACACTTGTCAAACCAATTTTTTGACGTTTTTGGCACTTATATTTTTAAATATTTTATCAAAAAATATTTTTACTATATTCCCAGAATGACACTACATATATTAAAGGATATATATCGTTCACATCAAAACTGCAATGTAAACAACCAAATCCCAATAAAGCAACACCAATAACTATACGTACATATACAAATCTACACTACATAAACCAACAAATAATTGAGATTTTTTTTTTTTTGAGACCCTTATAATTCTTTTAGATCTGAATTATTAATAAAATAAACTCTACATATATATAAATAAATTTCATACATACATGAATAATTGAAATTCAGAGAGAATTGTGAGTCTTAAAAAGGTCCTAAACATTTTCCCTATGTAAACACACGTTTGGAAGATAGTATGGGAGTTTTTTTTTAAACTATTTTAATCACAAAAGACAAAATAAATTATTTTAATCACAACAAATAAAACATCACATCTAATCTATAATTATTACACTCTTCTCTTACAAAAAAAAATCAAAAAACTAAAAAATCCGTCACAAACTAATCTTTTTAGCTCAAATTAAAATAGTCAAAAAAACTAACCTACTTCTCAAACAAAACCTTATTTATATATATGTATGTATATATATTCAAATGATAAACAAATTCGAGGGCTACGAATATGTCTTTGATCACAAATGTTAAGTCGTACAGGGGTTGTCGAGCGGCCAAAGGCGGAGGCTGAGGGAAAGACAGAAGCTCGAAGCGTTCGATGAACGCACCGAAGTCTTCTCTCTAAGTTCTCTAACTTTCTTGCTCTTAGTCTCCGCTGCTGAGTCTCGGCGAGTATTAGAACTCCGACGACGCCGACGCCGATATTGATCCGCACATTGGGGTTCGAGATATGAAGCTTTAGGCCAAGTTTGGCATAACCTAAATAATACAAAAAGCTAAAAAGTCACTATCCTATTTAAGTCACATCATCTTATTTAAATCGCATCACCTCTCTAACACATCACATCAAACCCAACCCATATAAGCCAATAAGTCAAAAAGTACATTTTTTTAAAACATTCCAAACCAACCCTTACTGTGACTGAATTCCTTTGACATGATCGAGCTGATCAGAGACATATATAAGGCAAGGGGCTATAAAACCCTAACCCTAGCTCAGATCTGAGGTAAGGAGGCCGGAGGTGGCGGAGAAAGCGATGAGGAAGAGAGAGAGATGAGGGGACGATGACGGAAGTGATTGTGAGTGACGCTGACATTGACGACGGCTACAGCTGCGATAATGGAGACAACAGGGACGGCTGAGATTGGCAGAGGAAGGGGAAAGAGAGAGAGAGAGAGAGAGAGATTTGTTGAGTTATTTTTTAGCAGAGAAAGAGAGATAATAGGAGTGAAATGAGAGATGAATTTAGGTGGTGTTTGGCAAGTTAGGTTGCGGCTAAAATAATCACATCAGACAAAATAAGTTATTTTAGTCATAATAAATAAAATATTATATTCAATTCATAATTATTATACTCTTCTCTCACAAGAAAAGTCAAAAAATTCAAAAAGTCAAAAAAAAAATTTCAAACCAAGCTTTTTAGCCTAAGTTAAAATAGTCAAAAAAGTCAAAAAATTCAAAAGTCAACTTACTTTCCAAACGGAGGCTTAGGGTGAGAGAAGAGAGGTGGTAGGGGGTATTTTGGTCATTTTGTGATAATTTGTCCTTATCGACCTAATAAATTAATTAATAGACGTTTGGGTGAGAAAAATTTAAGATTAGATTTTTTACTCAAGCATTCAAAAAAATTATTTTGCTTGGTTTTATTTTTTTAAAAACACTTTTTATAAAATTTTATTTTTTTATTTTTTTTATTTTTTGTTTTTATTGAATTTTTTTAATATTTTAATTAAATTTTTTTTATAATTTTTTAGACATACTTAACATAAATATATCTAAAAAGTAAAAAGTTTGTGAAATTTTTTTTTTCAAAAATTCACTAAATACAAAAATCACAAAAAATACCAGAATTCAGTATATTTTTTATATTTTTATGTATTTATTAATTTTTTAAAATATTTTTTCACAAGTTTTTTATTTTTTAGATACATCTAAGTAAGGTGCATCTCAAAAAGTGAAAACAAATGTTTAAAATTTTAAAAATATTCATTCAAAACAAAAAAAAATACGAAAATCAAAAAACTCAGTTTTCAAAAAATTTAATCCAAAAAACTCAAACGAAACACACTATTATTTTCAGTTTTTTGAAAACATTTTTCAAAAGATTTTACTTTCTTATTTTTCGTATTTTTTTATTTTTACTAAATTTTTTAATATTTTAAGCTTTTTATTTTTTATTTTTAGACACACTTAACAAAAATACATTTAAAAAGTATAATTTTTGTGAATTTTTTTTTTAAAAATTTACTAAATACCAAAAATATAAAAAAAATATAAGAATTCAATATATTTTTCATGTTTTTGTGTATCAATATATTTTTCATGTTTTTGTGTATCTATTAATTCAAATTATCTACACCTCCCTTGAGATTTAACTAAATTATAGATTCTCCACTGAGGTTTCAGAAATTACATCTTACCCCCGGAGGTTTATATTTCCATAACAATTTAACCTCTACCATTAACTAAACGTTAAGAATAGTTAGTTGATATCACCAAAACATAAATTGATGAATAATATTGCCATTGCTGAAATCCCTTTGATAAATCAACAAAATGACAAAAGAATTAAGTTAGATGGGGAGAAAAAAAAATTAAATTTTTGAAACCATCTTTGATTTTTTATTTAGAAAAAAATTTCAAAATTTAAAATAAAAAATAAAAACTAATTATAATAAAAATAAACATGAAAAAATATATTTAATTTTAAAAATTATTTCTAATCACTCTAAAGATAAAATTATATAAAAATAATAACTATTTTTTATTTCTTAACCAAATTAATTTTTAATTTTTTTAAAAAAATTTAAAATAAATTTTTAAAAATCACACCAAGCAAATTCTAAAATTTTTTTGACAAGTCATTTTTTGTGTTTTTAACTTATTTAATTATTTGTTAAGTTCATAATATTTTCTTCATCTAACACTACAACATATAAGAGTTTTAGAGACCAACTTTTTTAATTTCTAAAAATGAAATTTTTGTTACAAAAGACATTTAAAGACTAATTTCTATCGTCACAAGGATAGTAACTAAAAAGTCGCCCTACAAAGTAAAAAATAAAGGTTTTTAGCGATAAAATTTTGAAAATGTCAATAATAAATAGGTTTTTAGGGAAAAAATAATTTGGTTTCAAAATAATTTATTTTTTGAGACAAAAAATTTGATACCAAAAATATAATAATTAATCACTAATTTTCAATTTTCGTTGCTAAAAATATAATAACGACACTTTTCGCAACAAAAATATTTGGTCCCCTAAAAATAATTTTGTTTCTAAATTTTTGTCTCTAAAACTTTAATTTTTTGTAGTGTGATAAATGTTTTTCCATTTTAATTTTGCATTTCATAACTTATTTAAAAATGATAATTTAGTTAAACCTCATGAGGGAATCTGTAATTTAGCTAAACCTCATAGGGGTGTAGGTAATTTGCCTTTATTTGTCAGAATGGTATTTTTGTCAATTTATGATATCTGTTAACGATGTTAATTGCGATGGGGTGGAATGTAATTTTTGAAATCTCAGGGGAGAATCTATAATTTTGTTAAACCTCAAGGGAAGTGTAGGTAATTTGCCCTTAATTTTTTAAAATATTTTTTCACAAATATTTTATTTTTTAGATACATTTAAGTAATGTGAATTTTAAAAAGTAAAAAAATGCATAAAAATTTAAAAATATTTGCTAAAAATAAAAAACTCAGTTTTTAAAAAACTGAATTCAAAAAACTGAAATCAGACATACTGATTGTTTTTTGGATAAATCAAAAAAAAAATTATATATAATCAATTTGTTGGTTATTTTTGGGGATTCCAACTTTTTAAGAAGATATACAATTATTATACTAAAATTTAAATTTCAAAATATTTTTTTACTAATGTCTTTATCTTTTCAAAATTTTCATATATTTATAATTACTCAAAAAGAATAGTTTTGAAAAATCAAGGGTTTGTTTTTGTTTGTTTTTGGGAGAGTAGTTTTTTAAAATTATTTTGGGAGAGAGAGTTTAGAAATTTTTTTGGTTTGTTTGATTGTATATTTTAAAAGTAATTTTGAAGTTTGGGAATTTGTAATGATTTGATGCTTGTTATAATTGAGTAGATGTGTGTGGAGAAAAAGTAATTAAAAATGAGAGAGAAGAGAAAAAAAATGATTGATTGATAGGTAAGAGAGAGAAAATGATTTTGAAAATTGTTTTTGAAAATTTACTGACCAAACAAATTTTGTAAAAAAAATTTTCCAAAATTACTATAGAAATTCAAACCAAACATATCCCAAATATTTTTTACCTTGACTTTTCAAATGAGACTATCATTTTGGGACATCCCAAAATGGGATAAAGGACTAACAAAATAGGACTGATAGAATATTTTTTCGTTAATAAATGTGATAAATCGAATAAATTTTAATTTTTTTAAATGTAAGACACATTAAATATGTAATAAAGTAAATGAATTGAATTATTGAAATATAACTCGTAAATCTCATTCAAATTTTGAACGGAAGGATCCTCCCTCCCCCATTAAAAAACAGGAGATTTACTGGTTAGCGTAGTTTTTTAAAAAAAATTCAAATCAATAATAAAAGTTTATAGATATTAATAATTAAATATATAATTTTTTCACGTAAATATTTTGTCAAAAAAGTCAGTTACGTGTGATTTTCTCTTTAAAAAATTGAGCAATAATGTTGAGAGTAATTATGGCGTGTAATAGCATTTCCCCATCCGCATGGCGACAGATATTTATTTCCGGGTCAAAACCATATACAACACAGAAAACAACTAATAAGAAGAAGAAACTAAACACACAGTCGCAGAGAGAGAGAGAGAGAGAGTATGTAGAGCGAGAGAAATAGATTAGAGAGAGAGACAGTGAGAGAGGTCGTTGTTCATGGCGAGTGGGTGGGTCAAGTCTTTACAATGCAAATCAAGAGCATTAGATGACGTCGTCCATCACCACCACCACCACCACCACCACCACTTCATACCTGCCTCTGCAAGTTGCGGAAAAAGTGTCCAATATCTCAACGATGTCATTCAAACCACCAAACACAAGCCTAGGAACAATCCCAAACCACCACCACCGGCGACACCACCCAGTTCAAAGAAACCTGAATCCGGTTCAAACCGTATTCGACCCAGCACGTCCACCCGCCATTCACGTGCCCCGGACCCATTATTCCCGTCTCTCACCAAGCTCCCGGAGGGCCACCCTTCTCGCAACGTCGTCGAGATAATCTTCCACACCAGCTGGTCCCCCAAATCCTTCTCGGGTCGGATCGAGATGGTCTTCAAGGTCCAGAACAAACCCAGAACCGTGACCCGATTCGAGGAATACAGAGAGACGGTGAAGTCCAGGGCTGCTTCCTCCGGCGGCGGCTGCGAAAGCCACAATCGGTGTGTTGCGGATGGGAATGAGGTGATGAGGTTCCACTGCCTGGGTCCCACCTCCGGATCTCCGGGATACGAGTGCGGCGGCGCGTGGGCTTTCCACGGCGCAAAGGCGGCGATATGTACGTTCTCCGGGAGCGGCGGAGCCCACGAGAGAGCCGGCGGCGGTTCGGGGCGGAGGGCCATGTTGGTATGCCGGGTCATCGCAGGTCGGGTGTGTAAGCAGAGCGGGTTTAACTCGGTGTTGGAGGGCCGAGTGGGGTTTAATTCAGTGAGTGGGGAGAATGACGAGTTGCTAGTGTTTGATTCACGTGCGGTATTGCCTTGCTTTCTTATCATCTATAAATTGTAGAAATTCATTGACAATAGTAGGAACCTTCTTGCATTTATCATGTCCAATTTTATTTTATTTTTTATTTTGAATGTGTGTGATTACAGAAAACTTGGGATGATGAATGTTACTGTACATTTTTTAAAAATAAATATTTTGATATTATTTATTTATATAAATATGGTTTTTTACACTGTAATATTACCATTTACCACTACATATGAGATTCCTAAGTTCAAATTCAATAAAATTTCAACCTAATTTTACAATATCATCGGCCAAACTCCAATGAAAAGTGTCTGTTTAGTTGAGTTTTTGTTTTCAATTTTTATTTCTTGATAAGCATGCAAAAATTATTGACGAATCTCCGTTTTATGAAATATTTTCTTTTTAAAACTCACCTTTTAGTTGTTTTCGAATTTTTAAATATTAATTTCGCACAACATGAAAATAATGAATATTTTTGAACTATCCATCTTTTTTTTTTTTCTTTTTTTTTTTTGGTAAAATTCAAAGAAAAAGACTGTTCCAATTTGATCACAAGTTTGTGGATTAAAAATTCATGGCATTTTTATAATGAACAATGCAAGACCATCTAAACATAAAAAAATAATATGTTGAAATTAATTGTCTTTAATAAGAACAGCTGTAAAAATCAAGAGGCAAAGATGTTCTGATTAAAACATCAAATCTTAATTGATAATGTTTTATTTTATGTTATTGCAATTTGAAAAGTTTGTGTGCAGATTTCAGATTAGATTAGATTGGTTTATATTTAATTTTGTGATTTGGAGTGTTTTATTTAATTAAGGTTCAGTGCTAACATAAATTTTTTTTTACAGAATCGCGAAAAGTTTAACATTTTAACTTTGAAAGTTTATTAGAGTTTTTAGTTTAAAGTCCCTGATATTAAGATTTTATAAAGTAAAAAGACATGTATTTTTCATAATAGTTGAGGTCTCTCAATATTTTCACAGAGACAGAGAAATTTCTCTGCTAAAATTTCTCTAATAATATCATTGAGAGATCTTAATTAATAAGAAAAAAATATAATAGACTTCTCCTATTACCCAAAGTTGCTGAGAGATATTTCAAGTTTATAAACTTCATCACTGATCAATAATATTTTTTTTTCTTCTAAACCTACAATGTATTGTTATTTTTGAAGAAAAAAAATTTTCTTCTATTTTTGTTTATCTTAATAAGTATAAGGTGTTTGAAGTTGGCCAGATCTTAGGGTGATTATAGAAAAAGGGAGTTGATAAATGTTATATACATTTTTTTTAATAAATATTTTGATATTGTTTTATTATATAAATATAAATATGAATTTTCAAATTGTAGGATTACCATTACATATGGGATTTCATAGTTTAAATAATAAAATTTCAACCAAATTTAAAATATTATGATTGGCCGAAGTCCAAGTATCTGTTTAGTAGAGTTTTTTTATTTTTATTTTTTGAAAACATATAAAAATTATTGATCATATTTTGAAATATTTTTAAAAAAATTTAATTTATTAATTCTGCTCAAAATGAGAATGATGAATATTTTTGAACTTTCCTATTATTTTTTTGTAAAATTCAAAGCAAGACTGTTCCAATTTGAGCACAAGCATGTGGACTAAAAACTCATGGCCTTTTTATCATGAACAAATGACCATCTAAACATAAAAGGATAATATGTGAAATTAATTCTTTTTAATAAGAACAGTTGTAAAAATCAAGAGGCAATGCTGTCTTGATTAAAACAGAATTTTTTTAATTGATAATGTCTTATTTTATGTTATTGCAATTTGAAAAAAAATGGTGTGCCATTTTCGGATTTGGTTAGATTAGCTAATATTTAATTTTGTGATTTGGAATGTTTAATTTAATTAAGGTTCAAAAGAACCCACCCCCACCCCCCAAAAAAAAACTTATATTTTTGCTAATCTTAATTATACGGTGTTTTAAGTTGGCCAAACGATTCGGATCACAATAGAATTTAAAATTTTGTAAGATTTTAGAGTAATTATGATTCTAATCACAAAATCATGTAGAATCACAATATGATCTCGATATTTTATGACCATTTTAATGATAATATTAAAATCAATTTTATCAATTAATATTTATGACCATTTTAAAATCAATATTTGTGACAATTATAATCTTACTAGTGAGTACTATATAATAATTTATGTTCATATAAAAGATGCATTATATTAAATTTATTAATATTTTTTAAGAATTTTAAAATTATTTAACATATATTATCATTATTGATAATTTTACGCTATATTATATAGAAAGTAGAATATTACGGTTCTCGATCCATTTTCACAATATGATCTACGAGACCCTTCCGACAATGTTAACAACCTTGTCAAAACAAAAATTGGCTGCTTCCATATTTTTTTTTTCCTTTTTTTTGAACAGACTTCCATATGTTTGTTAATGGCACCAAACTTACAGCTAGTTGAACTTGACCTGTCTTTATCATTCACATGGACCTCTTTTTCCTCACAAATTATTTTCTTTATTAAAAAATAAAATAATTTTATTAACTCAAAGATAGAGATATGATATAAAATTTAAAATCAAAATTATGCAACACATCTCATATGTTACTATGAATGCGTTGTACCTTGTTGGTAGTTTGTGAATTTTGTAAATACTTTTTGTGAATACCTTGATAACTCACAACCCAACAAAAAGTGGGCCAAAAATGGACAAATCAACCACTCCTAGGGCCCTAAATCAGGGGGAAAGAGCTCCACGGCCATAGCTAGGAGCTTGGGTAGGGTTGGTGTGTTGCCAACCTTCCTCTCTCTTTTTTGTTTAATTTTTTTAATATTTTAATTCAAGATATCTCTTGCCCCAGTCCTATTCAATTGGACCTGAGTTACCTCGTATCTAAATACACGAGAACTAATTCTTGAAAGCCCTGAAGTTAATGACTGAACAAACTTTCAGTAATTCTTGAGAGACTCAAATTTGAGACTTTGAATTTTATTCAACCTTTGAAGGTTGCGAAACTTATGATTGTAAAATGAAAGAAATTACTCGAAATTAATTTAAGATCTATTGGTTAAAAATTTTTATTCAAGTTTAGTTAGTTATGTAAACAAGTCAAATTTAAAAATAATTTAAAACTTGGCTCAAATTTGATCAGATAAACTTGTATGCACTATTAAAAAAATATATATATTCAAACTTTCTTAGCTGAAAATCATTTGAAATTGGCTAAAAAAATAAGCAAATAAACTTTAGATATATTCCCAAAATCTATACATTTCTCAAGATAAGCTTGAACCACACCCTTGGTAGTACTCATCTTGTTTACAGCTCAACAACTTTTTATACATTTTTTTTCCACCCTTTTGTGCATTTTTCTTTAAACCAACATCATTTTCTACTCTTATAGGCTTCTGATCTTAAAAAACTGATTCTAGAAAAATTGTTTAAATAAAAAAAGGATAAAAAATAAAAAATAAAAAAAAATTGGACTTGAAAAGTTGTTCACAAATCATGCCACGTTAACAACTTTTTTTTTTTTTTTTGGGGGGGGGGGGGGGGGGGGTTTCAATAAATTGGAGATTTATTTATTTATTTATTTTGGGTATATATATCAAGAAAATTATATTAAATTGAACATGTAAGCTATTTAAGAAAATCTAACAGCACATACCATTGGCAATCTTAACATCAAGAATATCAATACAAGAAATAACTCCATAACAAGAAATAAATAAATAACTTAAAAAAGCTTTATATGGGAGAAATATCATTTATTATTTTTAGAAAAAAAATGATCCATTGCCCTCTTAGTTTAGAGTGTACAAGAATGATCAATTGACTGAAAATGAACTTTCAAAAAACTTATTCAAAGATCTGTGTGCACGTAGTCAGATGTATAAATAAACAAATAGATCATATGCATAAATAGATGAAATTAAAAAAATAAAAATAAAAAGGACCTGGGATTTTTTTCCTCGTCAAATGGTAGAAAATTATTTATAAATATTAAATGAATTGGTATACTAATTAGTACACTAGTTGATACATACAGCATTATTCGAATTCGATAGTGCTACATACACCAATTAGTATACTAACTAGTGTACCAACACTAGTTGTTACATTATTATTAACCCCATTCATTATACGAATTACAAATATCAAAAATATCTTAAATTATGTCACATCATCAATTGATACGCTAATTAGTACACTAATTGATGCATATAACATTATTCTTATGAATTATGAATTTATGAATCATAGTCCAACAATATATTCTCACAAGTGTAACACCAACATCAATATAAGAAATAATTATTTAATTTTTTTCATAAAAATTAACACGCGAAATTCTCAATTTTTTTTTTCTTTTTTTAGAAAACAAAGTTCTCAATTAAAAATGTAGGAGAATGAATGATGAACTGATGAACGCTAATTAGTACACTAATTGTACATATAACATTATTCTTATGAATTATGAATTTATGAATCATAGTCCAACAATATATTCTCACAAGTGTAACACCAACATCAATATACGAAATAATTATTTAATTTTTTTCATAAAAATTAACACGCGAAATTCTCAATTTTTTTGTTCTTTTTTTAGAAAACAAAGTTCTCAATTAAAAATGTAGGAGAATGAATGATGAACTGAATTGTATTTGAACTAATTAATTAAATAAAGTAGTTATTGGAAACAGCGTAAGCGTAGAGCAAGAACCCAACCAATGTCAAGTTTTTTAATGGGGTAAGTAGGGCTCAAGCAAGTCATCTGCATTAGATTTTTGTTCTGATCTTCTGTCCTCTTCATAACTCGTCCCCAGCCAACTCTTGTTGCTCAGAAAAATAAAATGGGTAGGTAGAGATGGTGGTGGGAAAATTATAGAATGATGGATCGATGTGTTGCTCTAACTTGTATGTTATTGGTTGAAATAGTAAGATTTATTATTTTTATGTCGGCTTTTAAGTGATAAGAGGACTAATGTCATACATTGGGTATGCTTGATATAACTTATTATAAGTTAAAAATTGATAATCAATAAACAGAAATCAAAAGTACCTCTCTTCTAAAATC